CTCTTTCTTCCAGAATGTGGAGGTGTCTATGTGGAGGAGTTAGTTTGCTGAAGCTCTGAATCTCTGTCACTCCTCTCTTTTCCCCTATTCCTGGCTGGCCAGAAAGTTACCTGCCCCCCTACCCACTGGGCTCTCTCTTTTCTATTATTATAGAAAATATTATTATTCCTTCAAGGAGAAATACTAGCAATACTATTATTATTCTCTTTCTATCATTATTAAAACTTCTGTCTTTTTAAGCTCTTGTCCATGAAGATGCCACACAGCATCCTTTCCTCCATAGATATTAGCCTAAAGTTATGTCATGTTAATGAAAATGCAATGGAGATCTCAAGCTAGCTATGAGAAGAGAATGACCTGGCCAAGAAGAATGGCTGCACTGTGTGGTGACAAGTCTGTTCCTTTGAGGTTCATCTTCTCCTCAGGTCTGAAGGCTTCAGCCTTCCCTGGGGGAACTGTGAAAGGTCAAGCTGGGAGAGGTACAAGCCAACAGGTTCATTAACTTCTTAATTCCTACATCCATTTCTAGCATAACAATAATAAAACTGTGTCATCAATATAGAGATGGAAGTTTGTCTTTCTATTATCACAGTACCAAGTTACTAAATAAAAGCTTAAAGGTAAAGGAACTAGTGAAATGGATGTATTTAGCCTCACTTGTGCCCTGTTTTTATCAGTGCTTCTGAAGTTTCTTACACTTTGATCAAACCTTTATCAGCTTCCTGTGTCAGGTTGGAGGGCGTCTTGATGGCCTGGAAGCCATATGAACAAGATCACTAGTTTTACGCTCTTCATGTTTCATGTTTTCAACATCAAATGTGCCAGGCATAAAATTATGGATTTTTCTCATAAAACTACTGTCTGGAAAGAGGCATAGGATTATTATCTCTTCTCAAACAGCTGCTTTTTCTTCTTGTAGACCCCCGTAGGTATAAGCTAAAGCTTCTTCTTATAAAAATGCTTGTATAAGATAGAGATGAGTGTGAAAATGCCTTTTTATAGACCCTCTGCCTACACCCGCTATGGGGATTATTTAAACATGAAGAAATTTCATGATTTGAAATTGACTACCCCCTCCATCTCCAAGTGCTTCGGGATCACCTCCCCAGCTGTTTAAAAAGTTGTTGAGCCATTAACTGCTGCTGAGGCTGCTCTGAGCTCCCTTTGAAATGGGGTCCCCCAGCTGTAGTACACAATGTTAATGAGCAATAAGTGATTGCCTGCTGCTTCCTCCACCAGGCCCTTCTGGGCGCTGACAAGTGCCACTGCTGCCTCCGCGTGGCCTCCTGGCCCACCACGCCTCTGGAGTGATGGATGCCCCTGTCAGCACTTCTATTTCCACAGCTGATTGGATGCCTTTAAACCATCCTCTTCCGAGAGCATAGAGATTGGGGAAGCTCTTTGCCTTCCTCAGTGCTCCTTGTTCAAGTGGTTCCAGTGCTCTTTAACAAATAGCAATTCTCACAATTTGGCCCATTCTACAGATGAGCAGCAGGGACGAAATCCAAATCCCATAGAAGAGGGGAGAACAAGTTTCTGAATCAGGTGCCTCTTAAACCCAGTTTTAGGCAGAAAAGAAGCAAGAGTCCATATTCCCTTTCCCAAACCAAACACGTGGTTAAATAGTTCTGGTGCGAGTGAGCAAGGGTAAAAGGGTTTCAATCCTCCTCTCATACATTTAATTTCCCACACTACCCTTTCTCTAAAGAAAGAGGAAAATGCTTTAAGAATTATAGTACCTAGAATTCTATTTTATGGGTCACAGTTTATTAAATGAGCAACTTATTTTAATTGCTGCAAGAAAACGAAAATCAATATGTTGCATTTCTATTTCACTAAAAGTAAATGGCTGATTTTGTATTCACACATGATATACAGAGATTCGATTTTTGGTGCTTGGTTAAGAACTAAGCTGGTGTCTTGCCCTAAGTCCCATTTGGCTAAACAAGCGTGCCCTTGACTATGTATTTCTCTCCTTGGAGGAAGCATTATGTGGGAGCGGAAGCATGATAACCTCACACGTATGTCACCATTGTGTGCCGGGCACTGCTATAGACAGTTTGTGTTGTCGTTTATTTCTCACAACTCTCTGAGATAGGCGCTGCTATAATTGCCATCTGACAGAGAAGAAAGCTGAGAGGTTAAATGACTTGCCCAAGATCATATAGCTGGAAACAGCAGATCCAGGATTCAGTCAGGCTTCAAACCCATACTTTTTTTTTAATCACTACGCTAATCCTCTCTGTGCAGTATTTGTGTGTCATAAGGGACTCAGGAATCTCATTACTTATCCCTCACCAAACTAATAGAACTAAACACAGGGACTCTTCCCTCTCTAGGTATAACTTCCTTGTCTGTCTCCTGAAAGGAGCCGGCTTTACACTCAGCTACCAGGACTGTTTCAAATATGATAAAGTATTTACTTTTCTGTTTTGAAAAGCAGTTGTAAATATATAAGATTTGAAGATCTGAAGCCGTGTTTCTCAAACTCCATTTCCTGGACCTACTACATCAGTATCCCCACAGGATGTTCATTTCAAACATAGAGTCTGAGCTCCACCTGGGCTTCCTGAAACAGAACCTCTAAGGGCAGAACCCAGTAATCTGCATTTGTGGGAAGCACCCCAGTGACTCGTGTACACACTAAAGATCGACACACATTCTAGAGTTGCTTCTGGAAGCGTCAGGAGCTCTGCACATCATCAATCCAACTGCAGATGATTATAAAAGCTTTCAAAGCCTGTCTACATTCAATAGCTATTTCAGGGAGAATTGTAATGTGTAAGGAGTGTTCTGAAACTGTTATAGTCTCCTTCTGTGTGAACCAGCTGGTAGGAAAGCTTGAATAATTTCCCAAGGAACTCTAGTTAAGTGGACATTTATACATTCTTTACCTATGAAAACACAGCAAAGATGCCGTTTTCCACCCTTGACCTTAAGTAAATCTTTCAGAATGGGATTCTGATCATCTTTTTCTTTTTTTTCTGAAAACCCTTACAAAGGCCTTAACATAACTGAGACCTTGTGTGATCTGGCCATACCCACCTCTCCAACTTTATCCTTGAATATGATCACCCACTGCTCCTGTGACGTTGCACTTCCTCCAGTTCCTTCCAGTGCCCCAAGCACCACAGCATCTTGGCATATGATCCTGGAGCATCTTATGGAACCCCTACCCTAGTGTCTAGTTAAATCTCACTCTTCTTGCAGAGTCCACTATCAATGGCACTTTCTGGGGAAGTCTTCCTGGCCTGCCAGAGGAAATCAGAATGTCCTACTATCCCCCACTTCTAGCACCATTCTTCCCTAGCACTCACCACAGGTTTTCAGTCTGCTTTTGACTACATGGTAACATTACTCACATCTGTCTTTCCAAGTAGACTATTAGCAAGAATCAGTCTGTTTTGTGTCTTCTGCTATTTAGCAGAGTGCCTTAAACTACAAGTTTAAGTAACATTGTGTTGGACAGAAGTCTTCATTCTCAGTCTAAAAATTTAACATTCATTCGATAGACAATGATTCCACGTTTTTTATTTCTATCCCTATCAGTAAATAGCAGTGGAAATGGACAGTCTGAACACCAGACTTCTTCATGTGTTCTAGATCCCTTCAATAAATATGTCAACAGCTCTCATTATGCTATTTTTAAATTGCTCATAGTATGGTAATATCATCATCAGTTGTTAAAATGGAAGTTAATGAAAGAGTGGAAATTTCTGGTTTTGGAAAGCCACAAAGTAATTATCTATTTCCTTTTCTACTTCAAAGACTGAAACGATTTCTTATGATTAAGTAGGGTAGGGAGCACAGTGAGCCTAATTGGTGATTAGATGGGTTTTATTACATTTTATTTTATCATCACTTTCAAGTGTACCTTTGCTGAGCTATATGAGCTATCAAGGTTATCTTTTGCAAAATTGTGCTCTATTTGAGGACATATCTTATTCCCACAGTAATTTGACCACAATGACTTTTGGTTTTCAGCTCATTTTGACACTAAATGATGGATTCTAAGTGTCCCTAAATTACAAGTATGTTCAAAGCTAGAATTGTTAATCTCCTAGGACTTCTATAGCATTTGGCAAACTGTGGACATTTTAAATTATTGCGAAACACTGTCTTCTTGTTATTTGAACTCAGAATTACATCCTACATTATCTATATATTTCAAAACCTAGCGATTATAAGTGAACATTCTCACCCAGGTTTTTCAAACATCTCCCTAAGAGAGCCAAGTGTCAGCGACCTCCTAAACTTTCCCTTGATTGAATACAGGTTTCATTTCGTGCATTACAGCAGAAAAGGGGGTGAGGGATGTAGGCAGGCCAGTGAGCCTGACAGCAAAGCAGTCCAGGTAGTTGTGAATTACACCTCACACAGTTTAGGCCACACCTTCCTAACATCGTCACCTTCCAAAACTAAAAATCGAATATTCACACCATAAAAGTCGGGGGCGGGGGATAGAAAATAATAATATTAGCTAACAACGGTGTTTCCTGCCTGCAGGGTTCTTAACACTTTTATATGAATTCCTTCCTTCAGTCCACACAACAACCCAATGAAGCAGGTACTGTGACTAAGCCCATTTTACAAATGAGAAAACTGAAACGTTGCATGTGTCACAGCCCCACAGCCAATTAGCTATTTTGGAACCAGGCTTCCAGCTCAGTCAGCCGGCCTGCAGAGCACCCACTCCTGATGCTTAAACTGGACTGCCTCCCATACATATTTTATTTCAGAACAAGGAATCAGGAAGCGTGGTCCGCCTTTCTCTCTCTTTATTTCCCCTTCAGAGGGTGGGGGTGGGAGGGCGGGATGAGTATTTTGTTTTGTTTGTTTTGTTCTAAAGGAAAAGCTGAAAGTGAGCCTTCTTTCTTTTCTGAACATCTTTTTCCAAAGCCCATTTCCCTTCATCTGGGGCCAAGAAGGACACTGCTTGAGAAGACAGAGCACTAATGAGCCTCCCCCTTTGTCTCCTTCCCTGTCCCTCCATCCTGCAGTTAATAGCCAAGATACCGACCATCACGGCCGTCTGCAACCTGCACGGGGAGAAGCTGCAGGTATTTAAGCAATCGCATCCAGACATAGTGAATACGCTCTTTCCTCCGTTATACAAGGAGCTCTTTAATCCTGACTGTGCCACCGTCTGCAAATGAAGGCAGCGACAGAACTGCCTCACAGCCCTGGAATGCATCACCATTAAGACGAAAGCAATGTGTTCATGGAGACTTAAGGAAAATGTCACTACAGCAACACTAGGAATGTCCTGCACTTAATAGAATTACTTTTCACCGCTACAGTTTGAAGAATGTAAATATGCACCTGAGTGGGGCTCTTTTATTTGTTTGTTTGTTTTTGAAATGACCATAAATATACAAATATAGGACACTGGGTGTTATCTTTTTTTTTTTAATTTTATTCGGGTATGTTTTGGGAGACAACTGTTTATAGAATTTTATTGTAGATATATACAAGGACAGAGCAGTACTTTACATGAAACTTTTCCTGTTGATTGTTCAGATATAATTTAAGAAAATTCCACTTAATAGACTTACCTATTTCTATGTTTTTAGGTAGTTGGTGCATGTGTAAATCTGTAGCTGTCTTGGAAAGCACTGTGCATGTATGTAATAAGTATATAATATCTGAGAATATTATATATGACCATTACTTATACATGCACATGCACTGTTGCTTAAAATATCATACCTACTAGCAAAGGAGGTTCAGTCAGGCTCTCTTATATTATTTACCTTCTGTGTTATATGTTACCTTTATGTTAGACAATCGGGAGTTTGCTTTCCCAACTGGAATTTTTATTTATAGTCAATGGCAAGATGGTACCAATTCAGAAATAAGTCTATAAAGGAAGAATTATAATGCATGGCCTCTATCAATGACATCAAAGCCTTGTCAAGATGGTACATATTGGGGGGGAAATAGAAGTATTTGTAGCCATTTTCCTGTTTTAAGAATTAGGCCATAGGTAATATTATGGAGTCCAGGACTTTTTTGACCAAACAATAGATTTTTCACCAGGACATGCAAAACACATTTTTTCTTTGGATTTCAGGTTGTGAAAGAAACTTGATTTTGGTGCTTACTGTGTCTTCAACAGAGAAATACAGTCTGCAGGTTAAAACCACCAGCAATTTTTTTCTGATAAAATTAAAGTAAAAGAAGCCAGGATCCCAATGCCATTTCATGTAAACATTTTCTCTCTGACCATTTTTTTCTTTTTTTTTTTTGCAAAGAAGTAAAAAGAAAATATACAAAGTAAAGAAGTAGTTCTTTATATCCATTCTCATTAATAAGTTTGTTAGAAAAAGCAGCAATAAAGGGGGAGGCAGGACCTTATATGTCCTTTAGTCTGGAGTCTCTAATTCTTTCCAGCTCCAAAATACTGTATTATAAAAACATAGCAACTTGACAGATTGGAAAAAAAGATGTTAGGTATTGTATAAAACAAATACACCCCAAAGCCAAAACGATTATCTTCTTAGCAACTTTTAAAAGAACAGAATGCAAGAGGTGAGAAGAGGATTGGAGAGTTTAGGCTTCCCAGTACAAATTCTCAGTTCCCCACCTGCTCTTCAGAAAAGGCAAACTGATCACCAGAAAAGGCGTAAATTCTAAAGAGTTTGTTCTACCTGTGGTCTGAGGCCTTATGCCTTTGATCTTATCCGATCCAAAATAAGATTTTTTAAAAGGAAAGGAAAGGAGAACTTTATGTATGAAACAGTGAAAATTATGATATCCTGTAAGTGTAGCCCAGCCATCAACTCATGGAGACCTGCCCCTTTTTTCTTGTCTGACACACGCACATGCATGCACACGCACACACACGCACGCCTGCTTTGCAAAGTTTCCATCAGTGGAAACTTTGAGTTCTGGCCCATCTCTCAGGCTTTCCTGAAGTTACGTGGTCGAGAGCGGTCGCCACGATGCCACAGAGCTCCTCCACAACAATCAAACGGTAGTGCCAGCATTTCCTTTTAGAAAACAGAGCCTTTCCCACCTCATGATTGATGAATTCCAGACCAATGGGGAAAAACAAAAAGGCTTTAAAATAATGAATCTCTTTCTCAACTACTGTTATATTCAATTAATTTAACTACATTGAACCAAATTAACTTCGGTGTCTGAGAAGACAGCTGTAGACAGCTTATTATGCTACTACAGGGACTCAGTTCTTTTTGGTGTAAATGTCACTCCTGCTAGCTCTTTGTATAAAGAATTAATTCCAAGAGTCATATTTCCTTCTAATGGAAAGATTACTTTACTGATTGCTAGGAAAACAGGGTAATGGAAGGCACTCAATTAAACCAAGCTGTTTCCAAATGCAATGTATGTTTTATGATTGGCTTGTGATAGGCGATGTTTAATGTGTCTACTTGGTGTTTCCCTTTGAGCTTTGAACTTATGTCAAAGTTTGTTTTCATTGTTCTCTTGGCCTAGTGTTTTCCGTTGTCAGCCTGTAATTCCTGCTCCATTGCAAAGGGGATCATTTGTTTCCTCCAATTTACCTTAGAGGATTTAAATTGGCTCAGTTGATGAAGAGGCTGAGAATTTTTTCATCCCTTGTCCCACGGGTGATGTAGGAAAAAAGATTGTTCCCCACATTTGCCTCAGGAGGTACTAGATTTGAGTTTGTGTCATTTCCACTAGTGCAGGCATTTAACTGGGACGGCAAGAACCTTTTGAAGCTGGGGGATTGGAAACAGCTAGAGACTGAACCAAAACAGCACGGTGGAAACCGTCCACGCTCAGCCCACTTCAGTTGAGAAAAGAGATTTCCGTTTCTCGCCACAGTTGCCAAATCTGTCCCTTAAAAGAGAATCGAGTCATATTTTCGATGGTAACAAAGCACTTTTAAAAGCTGCCCTTTAAACATCTGCTGTGACTCCATCTCGAGGTATTTTGAAATTTTGGTAAGAGCAACTTCCTTTACCACATGTGATTTCCATCCCTTCCCCGTGAACACTCACCAATGTCCATGACACATTCATGACAAAGTGTGCACTGGAAAAAACACCCCGCGCCCTCTACTTTCCACCCCGTGCTTCGTAAATGACAATCACTGCTTGATGCAGATGTTGCACTGTATCCACTCAGGGATGTTTTATTTTTTAAAAAAAATTTTTAAAGGTACATCAAGAAGGAAGGGAAGGGGGGAAAAAACAGGAAAATGACAACAAAATGTAAATGGCATAAATTAAATATGCCCACAAGAGAACCTCTCTGACAAGGCTTTCAGACCAACGAGCAGTGATTTCATGTTGTAAACTGAACTTACTTTACTACTTGGACTTGCTGACAAGTTGCTCATGAGGAAGGACAACTTAGTCTCATTTTCTGAAATCTGCTAAGCGCCAAATAATTCAGCTGCTCCATTTACAGGAATATGCATCTCCCAGTAAACCGAGGCTTCCTATACAAATCCTGAAGGAAAATACACAAATCTCCAGGCGTTAGATGAACCAACAGGGGATGTGGAGCTGTACTTGTGAAAAGAAAAGCAAATTTTGGAGGAAATATAGTCGAAAAGGGGATCCCAGATCCACCCACCATCTCACATAGACCCCTAGAGTCTGTGACTTGGGTGATCTTTGTGTCCCTTTTTCTTCAACTCTTTTATCCCCAGAGCCTGAAAGCTGAAGGTAGATATGTGCTCTACAAACATACCCTCCCCGGATTTCCCTTGTTTTAATACTGTCTTCAGGCTCTGGACTAAAAGACCACTGATTTGGTAAAAACAGAGAATACAGTGGTCTCATGGGTAATTAGACTTTTTTTAACAGAATCTAAGAGAGCCTAAATTATAATGAACTCTGAATACTAACAGGAGGTGCCAGGGAGGCATCAGTCCATTTTCTGTCCTAGCTGCCTTGTTCGACACATAACTTAAAGCAGTCAAGCTGAACCATTTGTAGAAAATCACACACGTGGATAATCAACTCACACCCACTCTCTACAATCCCACGTGCTCCAGGTTTGAATGCAAAATCAATTCTTGTGTCCCAAGGACGACCTAAAATTTAACCAGCTTTTTTTTTTCCCCTCAAAAACATCAGATGCAAATGATGTGAGTTGTGTTCCGTGTTCTTTGTTTTTGTTTATTATAGATGCAAGAAAAGTTCTGCTTCTATGGGAAATTAGAAGAAATAATGTTTCCTGGCTCTTTTTTCTCTATAAACTTTTGTTTCCAAGGAAGTTAGTACGATCGACAGTAAACTCAGGCAAGGATGTCTGTGCCCTGACAGAACCACCATTCAGTAGAAGAGCAATAACTGTAAAGTGTGCATCTGTAGTGAAACTTGGCACAGAGACAAAAGCCCACCATCTGCTTTAGATGACGTGGTATTTGATTTTCTTTTCCTCATTGTTAGCGCAAGCAGCAACCTGCTGTAGGAAAACCATGTGGGTCTTATTTAAGAGTTGACCGCTGTTTGGGGTGGGGAGGATCTCAGGACCAGAGATGCATGTTCATGTAAAGCAAGGGTTAACATTCAAAAGCCTAAAAGGGCCAGGGAGTTGATGCAAATGAGTGAAGCAGTCCAGCGGTGAGCTGGCAAGGAAATGGCCCATCCAGAAATGGCCAACCAATGTGGCTAGAGCTTCTGAACCTTGTAAAAGCTCTTGTGCTGTAAATTAAGTCAGCTGGCTCAGAGCTTAGTGCAGTCCAAACAAACATCTCCGAGCAGAAGGGGGCTCACAGTTTGCAACCTCTGGCTTTAAAGCATGGTCAAATTAAGGGGTCTATTTAGTTGGAGAAGCCGGGCCAGATGCAACTCTGAGTGATTTTAGGGTGGGGAATAGGGGTAGGGGGTGGAGATCTCGCCCTTCTGCTACTCAATTTGGTTTCCATATTTGACTGTCACTACTAGAGGATATAGTAAGAGGTCAGTTGGAAAAACAGCAATCTAAAAATGAAAACAATTTAATGATGGCTTATAAAAGACACTTCTTTTTGTCTTGTGCAAACTCCCAGCTTCACAGAGCCAGGTGGCTAGATCTCTTGCCACTTTTTTTCCCTCAAAAGTCAAATGCATGATTTTTATGCTTTGGGGATCTGCAACCGGTTTTTATTTTCCCTCAGTTGTATCTAAAGGACTTACTCTAGAGTCATGATCATTAGTTCTCCATTGTTCTGAAGTGCGGGACCATGGATTCCTATGCAGCAGACGGGGGCTGGCCGGCTGTGCACTTTTTCCCAAGCTGCTGAAACTCCTCCGAAGTGACTGGCCACAGTGATTGTGCCTCCTGCGAGACTGTGAGCACGACCTCCAGTGGATCAGAAACAGCTGCTCAGTGACTGGCCTCGCGGCCAGAAATAAAGCACAAGGTTACGGGGATTGAATAAACCCAGCTGAGGGCCGGGCGGGGTATCTGTCCCGCAGCTGGGCAGCACGATCCTTATATCCAACTCTACCCTCCGGCCGTGGCTGACGGCCTGTCACTCCTCACGCAGCAGACACACACTAGGTATGTCCGAAAAGCTACCAGTCCCACATCCAAGCACAGCACCGTCCGCCTCATCTGATTCACACACACACAAGAACGGAAACTACACCCACGGAAAACTGAGTATGTACTGTAGAAATGTAGAGGAAAAATAAAAATATTTTTTCAAATGTAATTACTTTTAATATATGCTTGTGGAAGGTCTAATATGATGTACGCTGTCTCTGTAATTTTTGCTGTAAATAACTGGAGACGGTGAATACACTGATTTTTCTATGTCTCTGTTTAAGCATAAGACTTTGTAACAATTTTTTTAGAGGGGGAAAAAAACCAACAAAAAGCAAACATGTACTTGCTTCCTTTCTGCGTGTTATGTGCTTCTCAGAAACTGGTTGTAACAGTTTAAGCATCTTGACGGGTCGTTGGTGTTAACTGTACGTTTCTTTGTGTAACACAGCTGAGAAAGGGACAGGGCTTTCAGTTAGATCTGCTCCAAAGAATTTGCATTGAAGATTGGCCCCAAACCTGCAAACTCTACCTGAACTAGACGATATAAAAAATAAAAAAATTTTTAAAAAAAAGGACAGTTAAAAAAAGAAAGAAACGTTGCCTGAGTAAGTCATCTTTTGTGGTAGCAATGGCTTTGTCTAAATCCTCTCTGCATGAAATAGCTTAAGGAAAACAAACTCTGCTTTCTGATGAACAAAATATTTTTGTACGCGTTTATTTCTTATTAATAACCTGAGGTCAGACTACTCATTCGCTGAAGCCATAACTGACCTTCACCAAATAAATGCTGTAAAGGACCCAGGGGAGGGTCGGGGAGAGACGGAGGGAGGCAGATGGAAGGTGTCGTGAGCTGTAACAACACAGGCAGGAGCGAGTCTGATGAACCTGATGCTTTTCCTGCATCCCAAATATGACTTTAAAAGGCTAGTATTTTATGATGATCAATTTATAATAATAATAAAAAAAAGATATTTAGATTTAAATGAGACTTTCCAGTATTTTTGAATTCCCTGACAATGCTTCCTTGCTTTTAGGATTGAGAGAAATGATTTTCATATACTTCCAACTTTCGGAGATTTAATGTTTTTTACCTAAGCTCCAGCCTACACGTGTACAGGGAAGAGATACACTAAGTCCTTCAGCAGTTGAAGCCACGGGCAGTCTGGAGCTTGGCTGTACCTACCAACCATGACCGCACCCGAGGGGCTGCCCGTGGGTGTGCAGGGCCTCTCTTAGCACGCGCATCGGGTTGGCAGTGCTCGGAAGTTGCATTGCCAGGCATGTGTAACGTGAAAGCATTCACTCTAAAAAGCATACTAATTATACTTTTTTAAAAGAATCATGCCATCTAGAGTCACCATTGATTTTTCAGGAGCTTAATTACATTATTACCATGTATTCTGATTGCCCTATCGAGGCAAAAGGCAAACTACAAATAAACCCAGTGACATCCATAGTTTTAAAATCTACAATTTTCTGATCTCTCTCTCCTTGTTTAATATATAAGCCCTAATTTCTGTGTACGTGAGTAAAACTGCAGCCTGAGTCATTTAGGAAGTAAGCATTGAGTTTTTTTCATTATAAATACACTAGAATAAAACAGCACTCCCTAACAATTAAAAGAAAGAGTTTTATATTACTTTAGAATGTAATCGGTTTTGTCTTTATTTCATGTCCTGTAAGTTATTAGTTGAATACTGTTAGCATTCCCTGATAATGCACACATGATTTCTGAATGTTTTCTGTAAATGACAATCAATGTTTATGAAGTTCCCTCCTTTAATGCTGAAGAAAATTAAAAGCAGAAAAAAAAAGTCTTGCCTAATTGTTTTCTTTTCCCCACAGGGAACAAGGAGAGAATGAAGATGATAGACTGGGCTTTGAAATACATGACCACATGGACCCTTACCTATACGGATACCCTTTTTATACTAAATAATGGAGTTTTTTTTCCTGAAAATTTTTCTGTCCTCATGGACATGACTTGAGTTAGAAATGAGGGAAAGAAACAGACTTTTGAGGTGGGAAAAACAGACTTCATTCTAGCCAAAGAGTTTACCAAGTCGCAATTAAAATAAGAGCAGCATCTCTTGAAGACAATAGCTCTCCTTTTCTAGAAACTTTCATAAAAGGAAACCCCAGCTAGAAGAGACATAAGCAACACCGCTACAAAAACTTTGTTTAAATAAGTTGCAGCAGGTTTAAAATAGGTGTGACAACCCCTTCATCAGATGAAAGCTTTCATGTAATAATTCATAATCATCTCTAGATCTGATTTTTTTTTAATTTATCTTTATTGACTTCAGAGAGAGGAAGGGAGAAAGACACAGAAACATCAATGATGAGAGAGTGCCCTGACCAGGAATCCAACCTCGATCTCCTGGATCCTAGGTCAATGCTCAACCACTGAGCCATGCCCAGCCAGGCCTGATTTTTTTTTAACAAAGCATCACCAAACTGCTCCACCACCCAAATCAATTCTCACCAACATCTGACTAGTTTGAATCTTTATTTATTTATTTATTTATTTATTTATTTATTTATTTTTTATTGATTTAAGAGAGAGGAAGGGAGAGAGAAGTAGAAACATCAGTGATGAGAGAGTCATCTAACGGCTGCCCCCTGCTGGGGATCAAGCCCACAATTCAGCATGTGCGCTGACCAGGAACTGAGCCTTGACCTACTGGTTCATAGGTCGATGCTCA